ATGTTTTGCTATGTTAAAGGCTCTATATAAATATACATTTTTGATGTTATAATCCAGGTGTAACAATACATCCCCACCACACTGACTTGACTTGCATCTTTCGCATACTCTCTTCCATCTATCCCTTCATGGGCTGTTTGCATTTCAGCAAGACAAGGCATAACCTGCTTAGTCTCTCAGACAGCAACCGATAATATCGAGTGACAGTTAAGATTAGGACAATTCATCTGTGCACAAAAATACAAAATAATCGATGAACCTATTGGAAATGCATGCACACAAATGAAATGAGGCAGTGTCACTTCTGGGTATCCATGAACTTGCGTTTGTAGAAATCTGACTTGTATTTGTAAAGCACCTTTCATCATCTCATGGCCAGCTCAGTGGTTAGCACTGCTGTCTCACAGCACCAGGAACCTGGGTTTGATTCCAATCTTGGGTAACTGTCTGTGGGGAGTTTGCACATTCTCCCCGCGTCTGCGTGGGTTTCCTCTAGGTGCTTTAGTGTCCTCCCACAGTCCAAAGATGTGCAAGCTAGGCGGATTGGCCATGCTAAATTGTCCATAGTGTGCAGGGATGTGTAGACTAGGTGGGTTATGTGGGATAGATCTGGGTGGGATGCTGTGAGGGTTGGTGTGGACTTGTTGGGCCAAAGGGCCTGTTTGCACACTGTAGGGATTCTATGATGATGATGCTCCCAAGTGCTTCACAAAGGAGTCTATAGTTGCTTTTGTGAGTCAGAAAACATGGCAATAAATTTGTACACAGCAAGTTTCTCTGAACAGAGATGAGATAATGACCAAATAGTCTGTTTGTGTTTGAATGAGTAGTCTTGACCAGGTCACCCAGGAGAATTCTGCTGCTCTTTTAAAATGGTTCCATGGGATGTTCTACCTCCACCTAAACATTTATCCAAAAAACCCCAAGATAATAACATTTTTATAAATTTCCGTATGGAATAAGGGAATACAGTGAGAAAATGGTGATGAGGTAGATGAACACCCATAAACTAGAATGGTGGATCAGGTTAGATAGGTTGAATCGCCTACTCCTGCTCCCATGTTCCTAAGACAGTATATACCAACTCCACATCTCTCATTTGGATACAGATATAAAACTCTCATTTTTTTAAAAATAGTGAAAGCAAGTGGCCTTTTCTAATCAACAGAGACAGTTACTAACAATGAAAAATAATTTCTAATTAGTGTCAAAATATCTAACCAAAAAAATACAAATCTAACTTTTGAACAGACCTGAATATTTGGCTAGAGCAATTAGCCTCTAACTGACCCAGGAAGGCACAGTAACTACAAGATGTGACATAGAAAAGACATATTCAGTTAATCAGAGATGTAATTTATTGACACAGCACACGCTATAATATAAACAGCATATTGTGCTTTTGGAGGTTTATTAGTTCAGTTGACTGGATGGCTGGTTTGTGATTCAGAGTAATGCCAACAGTTTGGGTTCAATTCCTGCATGTGCTGAGGTTATCATGATGGACTCTCCTTCTCAACATCTCCCCTTGCCTGAGGTGAGGTGACCCTCAGGTTAAACCACCACTGATTATCTCTAACAAGAGAGCAGCTCTATGTTTGGTAAGACTGGTAACTTTACTGTGCTATTAATCGTGAACTGTATGACGGTAAATCTAACATAAGATATTGATTTTCAAAGCTGCTAACAGAAAATTCTTTTTATATTTCTTTTCACTTTGAATGTTTTCTTCATAAATATCTCTAATTTTTCATATTTATTGTCCTGCAAGAGTTTTTGTTCACATATATATTTCCTACAAAATATTCCATGTGGCACTTTCTTGATGACAATTTTATCATTAGCATAACAAGAACAAGAGCTTATATCTTGACAGCACCTTTAATGTAGTGTAGTAGAAGTCTCAAGACATTTTACAAGACTCAACAGTCAAAGCAGATTTTGCCCTGTTGAGCTCTGGAATGGTTTACCAGGAACTGCAAGATGATACAGCACCTCATTGAGGTGGAGGACAACCCCACACACTTGTGTTTATTGTCTGGCAAATATCAGGGGAGGTGGTGATATGGCGGGAATGTCACTGGACTAGTCATCCAGAGCTCTGGGCTAATGTCCTGGGTTTGAATCCCACCATGATATATGGTGAAATTTGAATTTAGTAAGACCTGGACTAAAAGTAATGTAACCACTGTCAAATGCTGTTTTGAAAACAAAACCTCTTTCACTAATGCTCTTCCGAGAAGAAAATTTGCCTGGTTTGACCTACATGTAACAGCAAATTACAGAAGGAAATATCTGGACAGTTGATTGAAAGGTTAGTGAAAAAGGCAGCTTTTAACCAGAATCTTAATAAACGGGAAAGAGGTCAAATATTGTATTCTCCAATGTAGTGTAAGAAAAGTCACAGGAGGTAAACTAAATAATAAATTCATGGTGCAATTATCATGTATTTGCTACAAGGGATATATCAGCACATTGCAGGTGATGTTTACTCCCTTCACCTGGTATTAAAGGGTCTGTAATGGTCTCTAAATGGAATGGGTAGCCTTTGCTCCTCATTGCTGCAAATAATGCCGCTGGCATAATTTTACAAGGTGCCTAACTGCAGTTGTTCATAGATTCCATCTGATTCAGGAAATAAAGCCCTCAGTTCAATTTTGAAAGTGGCCTATGATATCTCCCAGGTTACCATTTTAGGTAGGCTCTGGTGGGTTTTGGTTTGCACTATGGCCACTTGAAGAGGAGAGGCCCTGAGTTATTTTTACAGGCTCCAGAAGGTGAGGGATAATTTGGACCTTATGCCCTGCAAGATTGGCACCCTCTGCAATCATGTCTTCTCACCATTTCAGAGTTAGGCCTCCTGTTGGTAGCTCTGGCTGGTTTGCTGTTGCTGAATCTGAGGCAATTATGGTGATATCTGTTTGGTGGCCTGCACTTCTTTCTTTTTATTCTTTCTTCGTATGCAGCCATCATTGGCTAGGATGGCATTTGTTGCCCTTGAACCAGGTGGCTTGTGAGACCATTTCAGAGACCAGTTATGGGTCAACCACATTGCTGAGAGTCTAGGGTCTAGATCCGGTAAGGAGATTTCCTTCCCTATATGACATTAGTGAACCAAATGGGTGTTTGCAACAATTGATGATTCATGGTCAGCATTCCTGAGACTAGCTTTTGATTCCAGATTTTATTAATTGCATTTAAACTCCATCAGTTGCCATTGTGGGATTTGAACTCATTTTCCCAGAATATTAACCTGGAATTCTGGTGTACTAGACCAGTGACATAAACATCTCCACCATCTCCCTGCTCGCCTGGTGAAATTCAAGAGACCAGAGATGTAAAATAACAGGAATGCTTCTTGACCATTACAATGGGCTGTCAACCATTGATTCCGAAAGGCCAAATGGACCCCACTGTACTCAGACTGAGGACAGTGTGCTGTTGGGTGACCTGGCTAATTTGGTAATATCCCTTTAAATTGGACCAGTTAGTCTTCTAAATTGGATGTTGGGTCTTCAGAAGGTTGGAATGTTGTTATTTGTAGAGCTGTAGGAGGAACTGTGAGCTTGTGCTTTATTCTGGCATTCGTGGGGGTGTGGGGGGATGTGGTGTGGCCGTGTGTAGGATGAGCCTGAGATGCCTTTCAGGAATGACAGCAGATGGCTTAGTACTCTCGAATTCCTGCATGAATCTGCATTTCAACCTCTTGGACTGGCATGTGTCCCCCAGATGTTTCAACCACATACTTGTAGTGGGTGAGGTTGCCCCCCCACCGCAATGAGATGCTGCGTCATTTTATAGTTCATGTTATTGAACTATTCCAGGACAAGTCAGGGTGGAGGCAGGAACCACAATGTTAAGTCTTCACTAAAATATGGGAGGCACCAATTCAGGAATCTCTTCAGATCGGGAGATTGTGCCATAATTCTGGAGGTCATATGTCTTTTGTTAGATGTAAAGGGAGATGGTGGCATGTTGGAAACGTTGGACCAGTAAGTCAGGGACCATGGGCTAATGTTCTGAGAATATGGTTTTCAATCTTATCATGGCAGATTGCGAAATGTGAATTCAATAAAATTTGGAATCAAAAGTCAGCCTAATGGTGACCTCATAACCATTGTTGTTAAAGACCCATCTGTTTCACTAAGGACCTTTAGGGAAAGAAATTGCGTTAGCCTAATGTGACTCCAGACCTAAGCAATGTGATTGATTCTTAACTGCCCTACATAGGGCAATAAATACTAGTCTTACCAGTGAAACCACATCCCATGAACAAATGAAAAAAAACTTACCATCTATAGGGCACTAATCAGGTGTATGATGGCATCTTTTCCACTTACCTGAATGATGGTAGCTCCCACAACACAAGCTCAACACCATCCAGGAGAAAGCAGCCTGCTTGGACTAACATCCCATCCACCGCCTTCAAGATGCACTGCAGCAATTCCTACAACAGCACCTTCCAAACCCATGAGCTCTACCATTCAGAAGGACAAGGGCAGAAAAACATGGGAGCACCATGAACCACATGCTCTCCTCCCTGCCTCACACCATCCCATCTTGGAACTATATCATCGTTCCTTCATTGATACTGGGTCAAATTCCTGAATTTTCCTTCCTAACAGCACGTTGATGGTACCCACACCACATGCAGAAATTCAAAGAAGACAGCCCATTATCACCTTCTCCAGCAAAGTTAGGGATGAGGAATAAGTGCTGGCCAAACCAGTAACATCTGTGTACTGTGAAAGGATTTTAAAAAATGCTTTTCTTTGGGATGTTTTACTGCTATGTTAAAGATGATATAGAAATCCATGTTGTTGTTGTTGGTGTTGGTGCTGACCGCTTTCTGCTAGATTCCATGGGTGATATTTAGCACCATAGCCAAGTAAACATTCTTCCTGAGATAACAAGGTATAGAGCTGGATGAACACAGCAGGCCCGGGCTAGGCCCGAAACGTCAGCTTTCCTGCTCCTCTGATACGTCAGCTTTCCTGCTCCTCTGATGCTGCTTAGCCTGCTGTGTTCATCCAGCTCTACACCTTGTTATCTCAGATTCTCCAGCATCTGCAGTTCCTACTATCTCCTAATCATTCTTCCTTTTGTGTGGCTCAGCAGCCAATCCAGTGCTGTTCAAGAGTTGGCACTGAATAGGAAATCAGGAATCCTGGCTAATATTTCCTAGACTAAAATACAAAATGTGTTCCTTTAAATTTGAAGGATCTGATTAGACATGAGTAGCTTATTTATGACATTATATAACAGGTTCTGTCAGCACTGTCTACATTTCTTCCTTTTGTTCCTTTAGTTTACATATAAATTGGGTTACAGAGGAACAATGGTTTATGCACTGGCTCTTGTTAAAATGAAAGATGCTTTTTCTCTTGGGATCTGACAACTGAGAAAACTGTCTGTGGGATCTGGGAGACAAGAAACAGGGCAAACATTTTGATGTGGCAATTAATCAGATAATGTGTTTGTCTTCTCAAATGGATAGAAATAGTGCCAATGTTAGCAGTTCCTCAGGTGTGGTACCTTCTTAGTACCATTGCCTGTCAATGTGTTGTGCTACTGCAAACTCTTTAATTTTTTTCATTCTTTCATGAGATGTGGACATCGCTGGCTATGCCAACATTCATTGCCGCCACTAACCACCCTTGAAATGAGCCAATTCAGAGGGCAGTTAAGGGTAAACCAAACTGCTGTGGGTCTGGAGTCACATGTAGGCCAGACCAGATTAGGACAACTGATTTCCTTCTTTAAAGGACATTGATGAATCAGATGGGCTTTTGCCACAATTGATGATGATTTCATTGCCACCATGACAGAGTGGATTTATATTCTAGATGTTGAGTGAGATTCAAATGCACATCCCCAGTTCTGGATTTGTAAACTGGTGATATTAGCACTATGCCACTATTTCCTCGAACTCTGATTCTAATTCTGTAGGTAGGAATTGCTTGGACCTGATTCCACGGATCAGTTCTACCGTTCAGAAGGTGCCTCCTAAGGATATAAAAAAAATTGTTGATTTTTAACATGCTATGTCAAACCAGCAATAGGCCATTCAGCTCTGTAAACATTTTCCCAATTCAGATCATGTCTAATCTGTACCTCCACTTTACATATTCTCTAATCAACCTGTCCTGACTTCTGGAACAGGTGGGACTTAAATCCAGATCTACTGGTCCAGAGGTAGGGACACTACCATTGCACCACAAGAGCTCTATCCCCACTTCATTATCATTTTTGACTCCATATCGCTTAATACAAGCAGTGAACATCTGCCAATCACAGTCTTTGAAAACACAGGTATCCATCAGTAACTATATTTTTGGGAGAGAGTTGCTGATTTCCAGTAATCCTTGAGAAGAGATGCTATATGATCTTGCCCTTGAATTGGTGTTGTTCTCTCAGCCTAAGTTCCCTCACCAGAGGAACTATTCTCTTTTGAATGTTTTAACACTTGATCAGATTTCCCCCTCAATCTTTTAAAGCTAACAGAGTACAACTCAGATTATACAACCTGTCTGTCTAATGTCACTTTATGATTTTTAAGCAATTCAATCTTTTGAGATGAAATAAAAGCTGGACTGCTTGAGGACCATACCATTGAAGTGGTAAAATTTGCTAATGTATTTGTATATTTTGATTATGAAGAGGACATGGGGCCTGTCAGATCTTTAGGCTTAGATTAGTAAAGGGTTAAGGCAGTTGTTCCCTTTGTGGTGTTGGGGTAGTCGCATGGACCAGCGAACAGGAAATTCTTCCCCTCAGTCACATTCCTTCTCATTAACTGACAGGTCATTAGGAGGTCAGGTTGTGCTCCTGAAAATGAATTGAGAATGGTGGCAGGCTCTTCTCTCCATATAGATCCCTATGAGACTCCTGGCTTCTAAGAATAGGTTGGATGCATGACTGCTCCACACTGGGAACAGGGCCTCATTAATGACCCCTTCAGCCTCATGGTTTGATTTTGAAATGTAATTAACAGTTCAGCGAAACATGGAGTACCCAATAAATGCAGAGAATGCTGGAGAAACTCAGCAAGTCTGGCAACATCTGTGGAGAGAGAAACAGGGTTAATGTTTTGAGTCTGGTATGACTTCTTAAGGACAGAAGAACATATGCGAATCATTAACAACATTTCTCAGATGCTGTTAGTTCTGCTGAGTTTCTTTAGCATTCTCTGTGTTTGTTTCAGACTTCCAGCACCTGCAGTATTTTGCTTCTATGGCAAATCTGGCAAATGTGTAGAATGAGCCACCTTGTGGAGAGGTCAAAGTAATTGGCGTACAATGTTTTTAAAGGGAGGCTAAGTAAATTAATGAGGGACAAAGCAAGAGAAGGAAATGCTGATAAAGTGAGAGGAGGCTTTTGTGAAGCACAAACATAAAGCCTAGTTTGGACTGAATAGCCTATTTGATTGTGATGTAAACTCGATGTCAAGGGAATGGTGACAAGATGAAGCATTTGGAGTTCATGCTGAGAAAAACTTTGAATGTAGGATTGGTTATTGTGACTGTTTATGATTCAATGAGATGTGGGCCTAAATTCCATCATTACCTCTCAAAGTAAATTTAAAATTTAAAAAAAGGATACAGTTATCTCATATTCTAAATATAACCTGAGATTACATTGAGATTATATTGAGGTAGGACTGATATCTCTGACATCCAAGCTGACTAACCTGGACTAGAGTGATTTGTGATGTAGAAACTTGCTCAATGTTCATTCACAAAAATACATTTTTGTAATTATCTTAATAAATTCTGACTCATCTTTGGTTCCCAGATTTTGGAACCAATCGCTTTGAGAAAGCAGCTTTGACCTCTCTCCAGAGTGTTACTGTTGCATTTGAGGGGCAGTTTCGGTGCATCTCACCTCTTATTTCCCTTCAGCAGCCTCTAAGTTTGTCTCCTGTTCATTCTGAGGCAGAGTTCAGATCTGTAAATGAGATAATGAAGTTTATGTATGTTGTCCCAACATGAGAATCTTTGAATTTAGTTCAGGGAGCATATGGCAGTCTTGGTATTACTGATGATGTAAAATGTTTCAATGTTTTGGCTTGTTAAGATTTTAGCAGTAATTTTATATTGTTCAGTCACTGATTACGTCGTAGCGGGATACTCCTAGGTGGGTAAAGGAAATGATTCAGTGTGTTCTGACGAGGTAAAACATTCCTGTTGACTCATGGCAATTCCTGGCCTATGACTGATCAAGATGGAGAAAATTCATTTAGGATGGCACCGAACAAGTCAAGAGACTTCATCGGGGACGTGAAAATGTCTAAACACCCCACCTACTCAACCTTGCAAATACCCTGCCAGGCATGTGGCACAATCTGCCCATCGCACATTGGACTCGCCCACCATCTCAGAACCCAGTTGAAAGGGAGTGGAACCAAGTCACCCTTTGTGGAAAGAATATTTTCTCTTATGAAGGAATCTAGAGCTAGGGTTGCCCATTTAAGACAGAAGAGATTTTTTTTCTCACAGAGGATGGTGAGTTTTTGGAACTCTGCTCTTCAAAAGGCAGTGAAAGTGGAGTCCTTGAATAATTTTAAAGCAGAGATAGATAGACTTGGATAAGCAAGGGGTTGGTTGGGAATATGAAGTAATTAAATCAGCCATGATTTTACAGAATGGGGTTGGGGAGTGACCAACTTCTGCTCCTATTTTGTATCTTCATAAGATCCTGAAGAACTGCTTAAAGATGAGATGTTGTTAAAACTTCAGAGTAGAAAACAAGCCATTTGGCCTCAGAGATAGCAAGAACTGCACATGCTGGAGTCAGAGATAACACAGTGCGGAGCTGGAGGAACACAGCAGGCTAGTCATCATCATCAGAGGAGGAAAGTTGATGTTTCAGATCGGGACCCTTCTTCAGAAAAAATGGCCTAACTAATTCACACCTGTATTTACCTTCTCACATCCATCTCTTACAACTTCTTATCTAACTCTATCAAAAATGCTGCAATTTCTTTCTCCTGGCTGTCTGCAGTTTCACTTGGGAAGTCGAATTGAAGGTCTGGTGCCCAGGGATGATTGATCTTCTTAAGATCAGAGGACTAGAGACCTTGAGGTCTGTGGTATCTATTCAAATATACAGTGATGCACTTTGGGATGCCCTGTGATTGTGAATGGCACTACATAGATACAAGTCCTTTCTGTCTGCTCAATTCCATTCCTGCAATGGCCTTGCTATCTCTAAAGTATGAATTTATGTTATTAGATTTAATATCACTGGTATGGTGGTAAGAGTGCATTTAACAGTTTGAAACTGAGTTTAACAGACCAATTGTCAACCTTTGTGGGATTAACTGATCTCATCTGAGATGGCAGTGTGGGTTAACACAATTAGCGTTAGTACCTCAGAGATGGGAAGCAGGATTGGGGATATCCGACCAGGGCAGTGGCCACATGGGACCTCTGTGTTGGTGAGTTTTGAGGGACGTGGGGAGAACAGGATAAGGTGTGCCTGTAACCCCTTCCATGGCCGAGCAAGGTGGCTGACAAATGGTATTGAGGCTGCTAGGTGAAGTGAAAGGTAACTGAGGCCTACAACTAGTGAGAGTAAAGGGGGTGACAAATTGGGTTCCAAGAAAGGAGTAGAATGAGGCCATTCATTGATGGTTGCTATACCTGCACTCCTTTCTGTACTCAGTTCTTAGGAGTGCGCTGCTTTCACAGTGCTCACTGTTTAATACACTTCATTCTTTAAGGTCCCTTGTGGTGGCCTTTGAATAAATGGTGCTGTGTTTTATTTCACTGTAGCAAGTGGAAGTTCTGTCATTGCTTCTTCCTATTGTGGGGCACCGAATGCGCTGATAAGCACCCAGCGTGCAGTCAAACAGCTGGAGAACAAAGGCATAAATACAGCCAGTGTCCAATGGAAGGAAGTGAGCATGCAGCTGCAGGATACATCTGGCCTGCAGTTCCCGTTGTTAAAGAGGAAGACAGATTCTCCGCTCACTCTAACTTCCCTGGTTAAAGGTCGGAAGGGAACAAAACTACTGGACCAAACTCGATAATGTCATCCAGAGTATTAGGAATGTAATCAGAGCCCCCAGGACATGGCTGAGGGAATGTTACCCTCAACAACTCAAAAGGAACACTTACTTCGAGAAGCACATGCAAAAATTCAAACGAGAGGGTTGCAGATGTCCTATATGAGGTAGATCAAGTTGTGAAAATGACTCTTCAGCTCACATGAAGTCACGAGCTAGCATTTTCCCAACGGAAGCTCTCCTGCTCTCCTTCCTCCGAAAAGAACTGACAAAAAATATTTTATCGGTTCCTCAGATATGTGCCACAGCTCTGGTTCCATGAATTTTACACAGCAAAATCCCACAAACTATAATTCCGGCTCTGACTGTAGACTGAGAGAGGAAACAGGAACTGAGACCGCAGGCAGCCAGAGCGTTCTATCCAATTAAACTAATGTTTGAGTAATCCTGCTTCACTGAGGATGGTAGCTGTAAAGAAATATTTTCTTTATTGGCTGGGGCCTTGATGGATTCCCCAGCTTAGCACTGGGAATTAGGGTGGATCCCTCAACTTCGCATTGGGGTGGATAACCCAATTTATCATCTGGACATGGGATGGATCTCCCAGCTAGAACTAGGGTTTTGCTGTGCTAGGTACTGGCACAAGTCAGAACAATGGGATACATGCTGGTGCAAAAACTAAAGAACAAAATGGAAGTACATAAAGATTTATACAAAAAAAGATCAAATTTGGTACTATATGTGACATTTCCTTGGGTTATTATTAAGTGCATACACCAGTGATTGCATCATGGATTAAATATATAATATCATCTGTGATTCACTGTGCAGCACTTTTACCTCTGAGGCAGAAGGTTGTGGGTTTAAGTCCCAGTCTTGAGTCTTAAGCCGAGAATATAGCCTGCCCCTTTTTGGAGATGGTCATTGCTCGCCACTTGTGTGCCATGAATATTATTTTTCATTTATTGCCCAATTATTGTCCAGGCTTGCTACTTGCTACTACAGACATAGATTGCTTCAGTATCCGAGGAGTTGTGAATAGTGCTGAACATACTTCAATCATCAATGAACAATCCCACTTTTGATCTTTCATGGGGGAAGGTCATTGATGAAATAGCTGAAGATGGTTGGGCCTAGGACATTAGGAACTCCTGAAGCTGAGATCACTGACCACCAAAACCACAACCATCTTCCTTTGTGCTAGGTATGACTCCAACCAGCAGAGAGATTTACAGCAATTCCCATTGATTCCAATTTTGCTAGGGTTCTTTGATGCCTTACTTGATCAATGCGCCCTTGAAGGCAGTCACCTTCACTTCCGAGTGGCCCTGAAAGAACTCAAACTGAGTGTCAGTGAGAGGTTAATGTTGAGGAAGTGCCACCATAATTGAGGATGAGCACACTTGTGGAGCCTACTTGTTTACTTGTTCAGAACCATTCATGACACAATGTGGCCGTACTGCATAGCTTAGATCTGATCCCTTACTTAGCCCTGTTGATTGTATGCTGCTTAGGTAGCTTGGTACACAAGTAGTCCTGTGTTGTAGCTTCAGTGGAGTGGCATCTAATTTTTAGGTAAGCCTGGTTCTGCTCCTGGTATGCCCTCCTGCACCGTTCATTGAATTAGGGTTGATCCCCTGGCTTAATGGCAGTGCTAGAGTGGGGGATATGATGGGGCTAAGAGATTGTAGGTTTTGATTGAATGCTGATGGCTCACAGCGGTTCATGGATATTCAATCTCTAGTTGCTAGTGCTGTTTAAAATCTATCCTATTGATTATGGTGGTAGTGCCACAGACCACGATGCAGGGTATCCTCAATTTGAAGGTGGAACTTTGTCTCCACAAGGACTGTATGTTCACTCCTGCTGATACTGTTGTTGGCAGATACATCTGCTACAGTTATTTGGTGACAATGTGGGCAAGTACAATTTTCCCTCTTGTTGGTTCCATCAACATCTGCTAGACTAGCAGACTCAGCCAGGTTGGTGCCACTGAGTCAATCTTAGTGATGGCCAATGAAGTCCCCTATTCAGAGTGCACCCTGCGATCGTGCCCCTCTGTGTGTCCACCAAGTAGAACAACCCAAAGGGTGTTATTAAGGCATCTTAATGAGGCTAATTAACTGGAAATTCCACAGGAGGCTAACCTCAGAACAAAAGGGTGTATTGTCACATAGTGGCAGCTTCAACTGGGGAAATTTGTTTGGGTAGAAACACTAAGACACTTTAAAATAAAAATTTAGTCTTTTTTGTTTAAATAGTCTTTGTTTTCCTCATAACCCCTCAATGACTCCTACGCATCAATGTGTTTTTTATTTCTTGTCCTAGGATAGCTCCCCCTTCTGGGTTCTGCCCGCATTACATCTTTCACAATGATGAATTTTCAATTTTTCTAATTTATAACAGTCTGAGTTTACATGGCATCTTATCCAGGCTAAATCACTGAATAAATAAGTTCAAATCCCAACATGTCAGTTGATGGAGTTTAAATTCAAATGGAGAAAATCTGAAATTCTAATCAAGTCTTAGTGATAGTCACCATATCATCAAATGCTGTAAAATCTATCTGCCTTTTTAGGGAAGAAAATCTGCCATCCTTACCTGGTCTGGTCTACAAGAGACTGCAGACCCACATCAATGTGGTTTAACTCTTAACTGACCTCTGAAATGGATTGGCAAACTGCTTGTGGGTAATTAGAGATAGACAACAAGTACTCCCCTTGCCAGTATGTCCATATCTCATCAATGAAAAAACAAGGACATAGTGGGTAGATGATCAAAAGCTTGTTCAAGCAGGTAGGTTTAAGGTGTCCTGAAGGAAAGAAGAGATACAGAGGTTTGAGGATATCACATGTACTGAGACCATTTCTGTGGCTTATCAGCAGAAAAAGCAAAATCGTTTCAAGATATTTTCAAATCAAACAGATCAAGAGAAGTT